GTGTCTCTTATTAGAAGAGGATGGAGACAAGGAAACTGGGTAGGGCAGTCAGGTGGTAGGAGAGTCCTCGGCTTCTGTGAAGGGAGCAGGACAGAGAAAGGCAGTAACAGAGGGCAGAGCATACTTTCTCCTTGTAAAACAGCCTAGATTTGCCCACACCACACCCCCCTCCCCCCTCAAAAGAAAAAAAAAAGCTGCATCAGTCTCCAAGGAGAAGCAACCAAGATCTAACTTTATACCTTGGGAAGGGCAGTTTTTAAAGGTAGATTTTATATTAATATAATTCCAAGGCTGTCAAAGCTTGGGAAAGTCTACCTCATTTGAAGAGGGGGTAGAGGTGAAGGACGATTTGAGAAAAGAAAAAGTCACATTCCAGGCTCAGAGCAGAAAAAGGAAAGGATTACTTGGGAAAAGGTCAGGAAAGCCAACATGGGCAAGGTTGGGGGGAATGAGTAGGGTAGGCGGTGGGCAAAAATAATGAGAAATAGTTAGGTACCACAAACTGGCGTCAGAGAAGGGTTGAAGGAGAGGAATTCCTTCTCCCTTCTGGGTCTCGCAAGGTCTCTTTCACTTCTAAATCAATCAAAAGGGATACCAACATTTAACTACTCAGCGCTGAGTTTGCGGCTGAAGATCCTGACCTGGAGGAAATATTCTAGAGGAAAAATAAGATTGTCTCAGAAGTCGAGGGGTTTTACTAGTTCGTTGTCAGTCTGGATGAAAATCCTACATCCATAAGGTGGTCCACCAAGGCCTACACAAAGCCCATTTATCAGTCTCTTAAAGCACAGCAGTCTACACATTCTGAAGAGTTTTTCCATATTCCTTCATCCAATCTGAGGAGGCAGACTGGTACAGTGAAAAAAACATGAGTTCTGGAGTCCAAGGAGGAAGGATGAACAATAACCTGGACTGAAATCTCATCTTTGCATATTACTGTGTAGTAGATGTAGGGCACACCCCTTACCTTCCCTGGGCTTCTACATCCTCATCTGTAAAATGAAGTGGTGGCAGCTAGGTGGCGCCACAGTGCACAGAGCACTGGACTTGGAATCGGGAAGACTCATCTTCATGAGTTCAAATCCAGCCTCAGATGCTTACAAGCAGTGGACGAGTCACTTAATTGTTTGCCTCAGTTTCCCCCTCTGTAAAACGAGCTGGGGAAGGAAATGGCTAACCATTCCAGTATCCATGCCAAGAAAACCCAAACAGCGTCACTGAGAGTCAGACACAACTGAAAAAACCTCTTAATGACAACAATAAAAATGAAGTGGTTGGTCAAGATGGCCTCTGAGTATCCCCTCTCAGCTTTAGATCCTGTGATCTCCTCACAACAACCCTGTAAAGTGAGTACTTCCAATATTCCTATGAAAGGGGACTGCAGGGGATAAGAAGGCCCAACTTTGCTGTGAGCCGCCTTTGTATCCGAAGCACTGAGCACAATGCCTGGCACTCGGCGAGTGTTAAATAAATGTCTGCTGACTGACTACAGGGGTTCTGGAATCTCACTGACGTGGGTCATCCTGTCCTGCGCCATTCTCCGTGTTCTCCCACAAATGCTAGGTCAGGCAAATAGTTCCACGGGAAGAGGCAGCAGGATGGACTGCTGGGCTTGGATTCAGAAGAACCTGAGTTGAAATCATGCCTATGATACTTTTGAGCTATACGCCCACGGGCAAAGCCCCTAATTTCTCTGAGTCTCAAGTTTGTTCACTTACAAAATTCAGTCAATTAGTTAATAAGCATTAAAGTGCCTATGACTATGCTAAGCACCGAGGATACAAAAAAAGGCAAAAGACAATGCCTGCCCTCAAGGAACTTACAATCTAACAACTTGCCAATAACTATATATATATACAAACAAGCTACAAATAGGATAAATTGGAGATAATTGACAGAGGGAAGACACTAGAATTAAAGGGGAGTGATGCGTGGAGGAGACGGGGGATTTAGGAAAGGTTTCATAATAACAAAGAGTCATGCATCCAGAGCCAGAGGACCTGTGTTCAAATCTGAGCTCTTCCACTTAATACCTATATGACATTTTGTTCCATCATTTCAATTGTGTCTGACTCTCTGTGACCCCATTTGGGGTTTTCTTGGCACAGATACTGAAGTAGTTTGCCATTTCCTTCTCTAGCTCATTTTACTGATGAGGAAACTGAGGCAAACAGGGTTAAGTGACTTGTCCAAGGTCACACAGCTAGGAAGTGTCTGATTTGAACTCAGGTCTTCCTGACTCCAGGCCCAGTGCTCTATCCACTGAGCCACCTAGCTGCCCCTGTATGACCCGGTATGACCACAGGCCATTTAACTTCTCTACAAACTTCATTTGCAAAATGACAGGACTGCACTAGATGACCACTAACACTAAGGTCCCTACAACCCTATACTACATCCTTTTGGGGGGGGGGTTAGGCAATGGGGTTAAGTGACTTGCCCAGGGTCACACAGCTAGTAAGCATTAAGTATCTGAGGCCACATTTGAACTCAGGTCCTCCTGAAGCCAGGGCCAGTGCTCCATCCGCTTCGCCACCTAGCTGCCCCTTTTGTATACATTTTTTTTTAAACCCTATATCACAAACAGGGAAAATTACAGCCCCAATCAGCAAATCAATTGTACAACCAAAAGGAGAACTCAGGTTCTCTAATATGTTATCCACTCTTTCCCCTACTCTGTATCACTTACATTGTATCATCCTTGCCACCCTCCAGCTCTTACCTTCTCCCAAGCTCCTCATTCTTTCTCCTCCTCCAAAGATCAGAGAATGTAAAACTATACCTACAACCTAACGCACTTGAGTTATGCCCCTATGACACCTCGGAAAAAAGTTCTTGGAGAACAGTTAAGGTGTTCATTTGATTTCTTTGTGGCAGAAACCTCCTTGTGAGGGTATATCACCACTAATAACCTTAGAAACCCAAGATCAAGAGGTCTAATTTGGCTTCACACTGGGTGACAGTGCTTACACTGTGGGCACACACCTCAGCAACTTTAACTATAAAACGCGAACAATACCAGCATAATGAAAGTTACACAAATGATGAGGTCTGAATGACTGTCATAGAGTGAATTCTGAGTCAGGTATGGAGTATAAATCAGGCAGCTTCTGAGGTCCCCTCTTTCTCATGAAGAAATTCAAAAGAATGGACTGTCAGGAGGTTGAGGCTTCCTCTCCAACTTGCACCCCGCCCCGCATGGGGTCTAAGCAAAGGTTAGATGACCACTTGTCAGGTCCCTCGTACCTGGCTGGGTCTCGTAGAGGAAATTCCTTTTCAGGGATAGGGTTAGACTAGACAGGCTGAGGTCTCTTCCCATGCTGAGGTTCTGGGATTCTGCCATGTGCAATCTTTTTTTTTTTTTTTTTTTTGGGTGGGTCAGATCTGATTTTAAATACAGAAAGAGGGGCCCTTATTTAAAGAAAATAGGCAGCACACCTGTGATCCCTGCTAGTAGGGGAGGAGGCTGAAGTTTGTGGGTCAATTATGTTCAGGAGTTCTAAACTGTAGGAGGTCTAAAGTAGATGGAGTGTCCACATTAAGTATGGCATCAAGATGATGAGAAACCAGGCTGCCAAAGGAGGGGCAAACCAGCCCTGGTCAGACACAAGGGCAAAATTTCTCTGCTGATCAGCCACGGGATTAGGTCATGAGTGACCAGTGTATGTCCAGCCTGGACAAAATAGGGAAGACTAGTTTAAAAAAAAAGAAAGAAAGAAAAAGACAATGGATTCTTTTTTTTATAATGTGTATAAAAAAATGTTCCGGTAAGATGAGATTTTTCCCACATCAAGCCGGCATAAATCAGGGCCCACTGGCACCATTATGGCCAACCCACTGTGCTATTGTGTAGAACTTAGTCATAAGAACGTCTGAAAAGAGAGACAAGCAACAAAACCAGGGCTGGGCTGCTAGCGCCAGCCCCACCGCGCCTCCATGCAGGTAGGTCCCCACTCCGAGCATTGAAAGCACCTTCACCAACATGTCTCCTCTACATCACGGTGCAATCTGAACAGTACTGCTTACCCTGTTTTTTTTTTTTTACAAACAAAGAAAGTAAGGCAGAGGGAGGCGAAGCTTCCCTGCCTAGACTGAGACATAGAATTCACAGTCAGAAGGCTCCTCAGAGATCACTTTGATTCTTAACTAGGCCAACTTAACAACTATCTGTGGACAAATTCAAGGGAAATGATTATTAACAACCAATTATTTGGGGAGATCCAGAGTTCTCCCTTTCTTCTTAAAGTCCTGATTTTTAAAAGTTCAGTCTCTTGAAGGGCATTGCTGATAATGAGATTGGACTAACCTTGTTCAAGACCCCACCCTGGTAGAGCAGCCATTGTGTTCTGCTCAGACTTGGGTGGGGCATGCATTCTTTGAATAGATGCCCAAGGCTAGGGGTGGTCTGGGTATAGAGATAAGTCTCTCAGTCCAAGGATGACATGTCACTTTCAGTTCCTCACTGAACACCTACTTTTCCAAGGGTATATATATGTAAACTGTATATAAACACCACACCATGAGGGTCTTTGATCTGAGAGAGACAGCCAAATGACCTTTTATTAATATGATGGCCTTATTAATAAAATTATTAAATTACACAGACACTACCGCTCTGGAACCTCTTTAATTGTCACACTTTTAAGAGGAGCGGGGTCTGTGAATTTTACAGAGGAAAAAACTTACCCCTTTACTTCAATATGATTGGTTTCCTTTGTAACCTTATTGTTTTATGCATTTAAAAATATTAATCTGAGAAGGCTTCCCCAGATGGCCACAGGAGTCTAGGACACAAAAAGGTTAAGAACCTCTAGACGATCCCATCGTACAAAGAGGACGTGTGCTTTGGACTTTGCCAAAGCATCTTGACAGCTCTCATCATTTGATCCTCAGAATAAGTCTGTGGGGCAAGGAGGGCAGAGGGCCCCAAGTCAAGTGTGTTCCACTCACTCCATCCCAGGACCTCCCTTCCTCCCTACCTCATCACTCACAGGACCTACCAGCTGCTGCTGGGCCCGGAGATCAGTGATCTCCTTCTGGTCCTCCTCTCGAAGCCGTTTCATGTCTTCGCACGACTGCTGCAGGTGGTTCCGCTCACGGAGCAGCTGTCCATTCTCCCGCCTCAGTGTGTCCACATCCTCTTTCAGCTGCGCCTGGTCGCTTAGGAGTCGGTTGTGAAGAGTGCTGGAAAAAAGCCCTCACAATGAGTCACAGGACACCTTTTCCCCTGCAAGACCCGATCACCCTAAAGGCCCCCATCAGCGATCCCCACCTAGATGGGAGCAGGGATAGGCTAAGCACAGATGGAGGCTTCCAAGAGACAACCAAAGTCAGGTGGCCAGAACTGACCCAGGCACATAAAACCCACCAAACTCACAAGGCAGGAGAGGCAAACAAAAAACAGACCTTCCTTCTTACGGACACTATCTGAAAAGAAACTCTAACAGCTAGATGACACCTAAGGAAACAAAGAGCTCCAACCTGCCAGAAACTATAACTTTTAAGATTTGAGCCCTGGGCGGATACCACAGGATACCAGATGGGTGCTGCTGCTAAGACAGGAAGGGGAAATGTGGTCAAAATCCTGGAGGGAATTCTCCTAGTTTCCTCTCCTCCAAAAAGGGAGAGCAGCAATGGACTGAGGACATTCAAAGGCCTTAACAGTATAGTGCAGGGGAGAGAACTCGGAATATTTAAGCATGTGTCACAGGACCAGAGTTCAAATTCCTATTCTGCCTGTTGTATAAAGCAATGCAGATTGAAGAATAAAATAAGCAACACTGTTTAGAAAGACGACAATTTTCAAAGACCTCAAAGAGCTCTGTTCAATGTAAGGATCAACCATGATTGCGGAGGACAGATGATGAAGCATGTTACCCATCTTCAGAAAGAGAGGTAATGCATGTAAAGTGAAGAATAAGAGGCAAATCTGAGGGCATGGTCAATGTGGGAATTTCTTTTGCTTGATTATGCACATTTGTTGTATGACTTATGTTTTTATTTTTCTTTTTTCTTTGAGGGGACTGAGAAGGAGAAAAAAATAAATGTTTGTTAATTTTAAAATAATTTTTTAATTTTAAAAAGTAAAAACAAAAAATTTGGCAGTAAGGAGGTCACAGAGTACTAACCTAACCAGACAGCACTTACTGGTAAAAGTCAGCCTCTTTGGCAACCTCCTCACATCTCTTCAGGGTCTTGGTATGCTGGTTCTGGAGGGACTGCAGATCTGACATGGCCCTCATGCACTGAATCTTGAGCCTCTCATAGTCAGGGTTCAGCTTATGGTATGGCCTGCCAGAGAAGGGGAAAAAAAAAAATAAATCAAATTAACACAACCAAGACAAAGCAATGAGCCAACAGGGAGAAACAAGACTGATAATTCTAAATTCAATCTCTTCTATGACCTTCTTCCCCTGACTACTCCAGCCTGCTCTCATCTCTCCCTACAACAGCCAAAAACCAACAACTGAACACTTCATTATTTAGCACCCTGTATTACCCATGGGGAGGCCAGGTGGTGCAGTGGATAGAGTAGTTTAGAGTCAGGTAGACTCATCTTCCTGAGTTCAAATCTGGCCTCAGACATTTACTAGCTGTGTGATCCTGGGCAAGTTAGTTCACCCTGTTTGCCTCAGTTTCCTCATCTATAAAACAAACTGGAGAAGGAAACTGCAAACTACTCCAGTATCTTTGCCAAAAAAACCTCAAATGGATTCACAAAGAGTCAGACAGAACTGAAAGGCGACCGAACCACAAAAATTATCCTCTAATTGTTTTCATTTGTGTCAGTGTCTTCTGCCTAACTAGACTATAAATTCCCTTAATGTAAAAACAGTGTTTTCCTCTTCCTTTGTATCCCCTACAACACCGAGCACAAGACTGAACACAGAGTCAGTGCTTAACAAAACCTCATTGAACGGTTCCTCTCAGAGAAGCCCTGCTACCCAGACCACTACATTCCCATCAGAGAGGAAAGTTTTCTCCTTTCCTGAAGAGAAGTCTTCACAGGCTGAAAATCACTACATCACTACCCTTGGAATAACACCCCAATATCAGCCCATTAAGCCCAGAAGGACTCTTACAAGTATGAAAACTAAGCAAAATTGAGAGAGGCCAAGGATCATGTCATTTAAGAAGAAATACTGATGATGAAAACAATAAAAATAATGACAACACTTAAAATAGTGCTTTAAAGTTTCCAAAGTGTTTTACAAATATTATCTCATTTGATCTTCATCCCTACAAAGTAGATGATATTATTAATGCTATTTTGCAGATGGGGAAACTGAGGCAGACAGAAATATTAAGTGTCTGAGGAAAGATTTGAACTCAAATCTTCTTGATTCCAAGTCTAAACTCTTTATCTACTGTACCCTCTAGATACACTCCTGAAGACAAACTGCTTGAGTCACCCCAAAGTTGTCAATTTTCCCTAATTAGTCACCCCTTTGTCTTCTAGGAAGTGTGGTGAGATGCAAAGGACAATAGACTTGGGATTCAAATTTGAATTTCAGCTCTTGGCTTTGGTTTCACCTCTCTGGGCCTCAGTTTCCCCATACATAAAATGAGGAAGTTGGTCTAGATGATCTGAGATTCCGTCTGCTTCAGGATCTAATGATCCCTTATCAAGAAAACAGCCAGCACCATCTCAGAAAGGCTGCTCCTTCCCTCCTTATCCTATTTACTATAAGATAGGACCTATATCTCTGGTCTAACAAGCCCCTGATCCCCCCACCCTCCAAACTGCTAATGCTCTCCCTCCCAAAACCGCTCTGTATTTATTTTGTATACAGGGTGTCCCAAAAGTATTAGTGTAATTTTGAGCTTTAACACACTATGTAAACTACCAAATAAGCATTAATAGTTTTAATAGCTTAAAACTACACTAAAAGTTTTTTATATACCCTGTATATACTCAAAGATATACATGTTGCTTCTCTCTTTAGAATGTGAGCTCCTTGAGGGGAAGAATTATTTCTATTTTCATATTCCAGGTCAGCCAGGTTGGAGAGGAGGAGATACTTAATGTATGTGTACCTAGCTATTTACCCACTATCTCTTCATTAGAATGTAAGCTCCTTGAGGGCAGGTACTGTTTTTGCCTCCCTTTTTATCTCCAGCACCTAGCAAAGTAAATGGTACTCGGTAGAGGATAATTAAACGCCCCAGACAGACTGATCCATTTGCTGTGTATATGTTGCGTACAGGGACCCACTAGTAATTTAAGATAAAAAAGTCTCTATGCTTTCCACAGCAGCCAGTTCCATGTAAGTAACCTACTGGTACAGCAAAATTGAAGTTTCTGGAGGGCAAGGAGGATTTCATGCTTATCTTTGTGTCTCTAGCACCTGGCATTGTACACTGTAGACATTTAATAGACTCTTGATGAATGAATGAACAAATGAACGAGCGAACGAATGAATGAATGAATGAATGAACAAAGTCAGAACAGCAAAGCAGGCAGGAGATTTGACCTGCAGTCGTCGAAAGTCGAACCAGGAGATGACAGGGCCAGACGCTTCCTCAGCTCGTCTCTCTCTCGGGTGATCAATCTCAGCTGAATCAAAAGAGTCTCCACTTTCTCACTGGCCTGCCTGCTGTCTGTGCTGGGGGGTGGAGGAGAGGATGCCTTTCCAGTTGTGCCTGGAGAGAAAACAGACAAGCGTCAGAAGTGCAGCATTAATGGAGCCCCTGAAAGCAGCAGAGTCTCATGTACATGATCTCGTTTAAGCTTCCTAACAGCCCTGTGAGGTGCGCACTGTGGCTATTTATTATACCAATTTTCAGAAAGAATGGGGCCTGAGAGAGATGAGAGGATTTTGTTCAGAGGCGCACGGCCTCAGGTGGAATTTGAACTTGTCTTCCTGTCTCCAAATCCAGTTTTCAATCCACTGTGCCACGCTGTTCACCCATCTAGACTGCCCTCCTTTCCCATTTCCCAATCGTGTTTTTGTCAATGACAAAGTACGGCCCTGGCCCACCTGCCTCAGGTCCCCAGATTTGGAAGAGACAGTGGAATCCATCTAGTCCAACCCGTGTGACCAAAGAGCCTTTCTACATCCCTGAGGACAAGTGGTCATTCAGACCTACTATCTCTACTACATGCCTATAGGACCTAACACAATGCTTACATATAATACTCTCCAAACTATCCAGTCTATCACTCTTTTGTACATTGTTTTTTACTATATTTCACACAATAAACAATCTCAAATTTATCATACATAAACACACTCAACATATATAGTTATATATAAGTTCATAATACTTAACTATGATATAATTTTTTAACATAACTATATATAACCCGTAACTATATAACACACAAACACACATAGTACAGAGTTGTTTCCTTGTCTCCCCATTAGACTGTGAGGACTTTCTCCTCTCTTTGTATTCTCAATGCTTAGCACGATGCCCGGCACATAATGGGTGCTTAATGTTGCTCCTCCTTTGTTTTTGAAGAGGACAAAGACATCAGTCAATAGCTCGACTTGCAGTGAATTGGATTTAAGTGAGGCAAGGCTTCACAAAGTGGCAGAGTCATCAGCCTCACTCTCTCTTCCAGAGTCATCAAAGTCCAGTGGCAGGACAAAAGTCAGGGTGACTAGGGATGGCCCAGGATGCAATGGATGACCTTGGTTTCTTCAATGTCTGACCAAGCATCTGCCAGTTCTGCCAGGGGAAGTCTTCACGTGCCTGGGGTAGCTACTCCCCCAATTCACCAAAAGGTTTGAGACCTATTGGTTACTCTCAACCTAGTTTAGCCTATCTGCTGAGGTAATCCAAGTGAATGCTCTCCTGAGATCCAGTCCCCCAATACCAAGTGAACATTCTGAACTGATGGCCCACAGGAATCTCAAAATCAACAAACCCAAAACAAAACTCATCTTCTATCCCATCACTCTTCTATACTTCCCCCTTTGTTTTTCAAGGGAAAGCTCATCCTTTCAGTCACACCCGGGTTATCACTCAGTCAGCTTCTAATCCACCCTTCTTCCCCAATCTTGCCAGTCCTACCTCCCAAACACTTCTCCCACCCATTCTCTAAGCACCCTTCACAAAGCTTCCACCCTCCTTAAGGCCCTCATCACCTTTCTCCTGGATGATTGTCTCCTTTTATATCTCCCTCTCAAATTTCTCTTCTATCAAATCCACCCTCCACTGCCAAAGTCTGATTGATCACCTCTCTCCCTTGCTCAAGGAATCATTACAGTGGTTCCCAAAAACTTCGAGGATTAAATACAAACTCCTCCATTTGGCAATTAATCTAGCCTTTCAAGCACTCAACAATCCTGTTGTTCTGTTTCTTGAATCCTAAGTTTCTTGAGTTTTCTATCCCCAACTACGACTGAAAGCTTCCTGAGGTCAGGGATCATAGCTCGTACTGCTTTGTGCAACCATCAATCCACATACATTTATTAAGCACCTATTATGTGCCAGGCACGATACTGGGCACTGGGGACAGACACAAAGACAGAAAGGAAGCCATTCTAGCTCTCAAAGAGTTTCCATTCTATTAGAATAGATGTTGTGAACACAAATCACATACAGACTAGATGCAAATACAAGGTTGTTAAACCAAGGTAAATAGCAGCCTTGAAAAGGATTGGGGGGGGGGGGGTGCAGCTAGGTGGCATTGTGGATAGAGCTCTGGCCTTGGAGTCAGGAGGACCTGAGTTCAAATTCAAACTCAAACACTTGACACTTACTAGCTGTGTGACCTTGGGCAAGTCACTTAACCCCGACTGCCTAACCAAAAAAAAATGAAGCAAAAAAAGAATCAAGAAAAGCTTCTAGTAGAAGGCGGTATTTGGGCTATGTCTAGAATTGAAGACTTCTATCCGACAAAGGTGAGGAGGGAATGCCTTCCAGCCGTGAGGGAGGCAAAAAGAATACAAAGACACAGAGACACGAGATGGTATTATGTAAGAGGGACAGAAAAAAGTTCAGTTTCACATCAACTAGCACAGGGCTAGGCAAATACTAGGGGCAGCGAGGTGGTGCAGTGGATAGAGTGCCAGGTCTGGACTCAGAAAGACTCATCTTCCTGAGTTCACATCTGGCCTCAGACACTTCCCAGCTGTGTGACCCTGAGCAAGTCACTTAACCTGTTTGCCTCAGTTTCCTCTTCTGTAAAATGAGCTGGAGAAGGAAATGGCAAACCATTCCAGTATCCTTGCCAAGAAGACCCCAAATGGGGTTATGGAGAGTCAGACACAACTAAAAGGACTAAACAAAATGTGGTCAAAGCCAAGATTTGAACGCTGGTCTTCTGGCTTTGTATGATGACTCTTTGTTATTATGAAACCTTTCCTGACATGCCCCTCCTCCCCCCCAAAAAAAAGAGCAGGAAAATGACTCAACTACAACAACAAACCCATCTGGCAACATGAGAGACCAGGGCAAGTAACCTAAGGGTCACATTCCCTCTGAAATCATCCTAAGTCACATTTATACACTGTTTTACACCTTAAGACATTTTCCTCACAACAACCCCATGAAATGGGATAGTATTATTAATATCAGCATTCCCATTTTAAGGATGAAGACACTCAAGCTTGGAGTGACTTGTTCATGATTCCACAAAGTCTTCGAGCTGAGATGGATCCCTATCCATCCCTCCTCCCCCTAAGAGCACACTGGAGCTGGAAAGAACCTTGGCCATCACCCAACCCAACCCCCTCATTTCACAAATGAAGAAACTGTGACCCAAAGAGAGGGGTGATTGCGAGGCAAGTTCATCACCTTTTGGCCCTTCTACCAATTCAGTCTGTTTCAGCATGCTCCAGCTCTGTTCCCCTACATCACCCAATCTCCCCTCCAGTAGCTTGCCTTCTCTTCTCAGACAAACTAGATTCTGCCAGAAGCTTGTGAGACCACCAGAGCCCCACGGTAGTGCACCCTGTGAAGGTTTCACTCCCAACTCAGGAGCTGCAGACTACCTACCTACCTATCAAGGGCTAGGTCGCTGCCAGGACCTAACCTTCACCCAGGCTACTGAATTTGGTTTCATTCTTCCCCCAAATCCCCTCAACCTTCCTAAATGCAAATGAAACAGCCCCAGGAGAAGAACAGGGGCTGGACACATGAAGATACAGGAAACAGGAGAAAGTCCTGGTTCCTGACCCACACTCCATGCTCAGTCTTCTCCATACTGCTCCTTTGTTCCTATCCCAACAGAAAGTGATCCCAAATACCAATTTCTCATGTCAATCCTTCTGATCTTCCCCTAATCTCCGTGCCTCAATGATGCCTTGGTTCCACAGGGGCAGGTGTAATAAAGGACATCTTTTCACTTCTGGGAGACAAAAAGTACATTCCTTACCAAAAACAGATTGAGGGATATTGATATAATCCAACTTCATCATTTTGAGGATGAGAAAACCAAGGACCAGAGAAACAGAGCACCCCAACCAAGAACCCAAAGCTATTAGGAGAAGATGTGATCAAAAAAACTGGCTCATGTGGGGCACCTATTTCACCCTTCAGTAGATAAAGGCTGTCATTCCCTCTCCTGAGTTGGGGTTTTCTCCACCATCAGGGGGTCTCCAAATAAACAACTCTACAAGGAAGGGCTAACCAGCCCCAAATCATTCATCAGGGAAGAAGCTGCCTAGAAATGTCAGTGGGAGTGGAGAGGGATACATAGAAGCATTGCTCCATTCACCATCCCTGGGACTTCCTAGACAAGACAGCCTTCCTTGGCCTCTCCCCTGTGCCATCTCCTCCCCGGCCCAATGGTCATTATTCTCCCCCTCCCTCTCTCTGCAATCTAGCCAAACTAGATTTCTCTGGGTTCCTCACACAACATTCCATCACCCACCTTCTTGTGTCTGCACTGGCTGTCCCACATGCTTGGAATGCACTCTCTCCTTACCAGAATCCTCCTCTTACTTTAAGATGCACCCAGCCTTCATCAGAGGGCAGCTATCTCATCACTTCCTACCTGGCTGAACTCCTCTGGACCTGCAATGAGCCCTGCAGAATCTCAACATCCTGAAAGCTCACATGAAACCTGAAACTCATAATTCACACCTGTCAGTACCCCCCCACCCCTGGCCCGGCCCTGAGGGCCCCTCCCTTCCTCAGACTGGAGAGCTTCTCTTGTTTGGGAGGATGCCCAGGGCAACCACCTTATTTCCCACCAGCCTCAGCCTCAATCCTACAGACTTTCATCATGCAAATACTCTCTTTACCCTACCTAGTCACCCTCCTCATCAACTCCCTTTTTAGTGCCATCTTCCCCCTTCAGATTGCAAGCTCCTTGAGGGTAAGCATTTTTCCCTTTCTTTGTATCCTAGTAGTCTTGTCATTTTGTGTCTGACTCTATTTGGGGTTTTCTTTGCAAAGATTCTGGAGTAGTTTGCCATTTCTTTCTCCAGCTCATTTTACAGATGAAGAAACTGAGGCAAATAGGGTTAAGTGACTTATCCAGGGTCACATGGCAGTTAAGTAAGAGTCTGAGACCGCATTTGAACTCAGGTCTCCCTGACTCCAGGCCTGGTGCTCTATTCACTATGTCACCTAGAAGCCCCTTTCTATCCCTAGTACTTTATATAATGCCAGGAACATAGTAGTAGGCACTTACTAAGCGTTTATTGACTGAATGATCTTCGGCATAAAGCTTTTTCTTAATTTCC